GAAAGCGTTCGATACTGTGTTTTATTATACGGACAATTGTGTTTTACTGGAAACTAAAACACTCGTAGAACTCATACGTCACTACATCCGGGACCAGGTGCGCGTATTTTCCGTATTTCACCCCTGCGAGTGACATACGCAGTTCGAAAATTTCCGGCCAATTTCATTGTTGTTGTTTTGAAAATACAAATGGTCTTTGGTTCGTATATAAAACGAAATTAACGTCGAAAATAAAACGAAAACATTTAAAAGACATCTTGAGAGAAGTAAAATTTATTCTAGTTTTATGTTTGCACTATAATTTTAAAAAATATCGCTTTTATACTGGTCTTTCGCGTGCTTATTTACATGTCGTTTTTGTGTGTATTTTTGTCACTCTGAATAAGTCCATATAATAAACAGAACATTAAACGGTTGCTAGTAGATATGGATTTATGTTCTCGTGTCAAAAACATTATCTGATATTGTTTTTGCCACTCGAACATAAAATCCATATCTCTTCGCAACCGTCTAATATCCTCTATGTATTCTACCATCTTAAGAAAACTGAGTCTCAAATGGGTCACAAGCTATCTGACTGGTCGACGACAGTTTGTTCAGATAGACGACGCAGTGACAAACACAACTAACGTTTGTTTTGGAGTTCCACAAGGGTCTATACTTGGTCCTGTTCTCTTCAACCTATATGTCAATGATCTCTCTGAAAACCTTGACAACTCTATATATTCACATCAGTATGCCGATGGTACTACCATTGTAAGCCAGCTGACATAAAGTCATGTGAAGAGAAAATTCAATCCAATCTAGATAAACTTTCCACCTGGTCTAGTTTCTAACAAACTTCTTCTTAACCGCAATAAAACAAAAGTCATGCTTTTCTCTACTAGTCAACTCTCTCGTGTGCACCAACTTGATGCGGCTCTTCTTGGTACTACATTGTATCAAAATTTAAAATGGAATGATGATGTAAACAAAAAGATCTCAAGTTGTTAGGTGACATTATCCGTCCGGAGAGTCAGATGCTATCAAAAATTGATTACAACTACGTTGTCGTGTCTAGTCCAGTACCAGAATACCTAACGCTTACAACGAGTGCACTTCGCTGCTGCTGGCTTTGTATTTAATAGGTACGCTAGATTCACTGTTGTCATGTCTCTCGGTGGCTTCCAATTTTGGAAAGTAGGAATTATCATCTTGCCAAATTAGCATACAAAGCAATTAATTGTGATGACTGGCCTTCATACATAAAATTAGAGGAATATATTCCTATACGAACATTACGATCATGTCAATCAGCCTTTCTCGCGAAGGACTAAATCCGCCATTTTTGGGTACTATTAGCCTATATAAACGACGTGAAAAATAAATAATTTTTCAAATATTTAAAAAAATACAATACACACGTGACCATCGATGAACCGACCATTTCTTGCAAAAATATAAATAATGAGGTATTAAAACTGAATAAATTCAAGGCTATGTGTGCATGTATGATGCTACGATCCAGTATTTCTGCAAACGGTCTACAGATATGTGCGTTTTTGGCATCTATTTTCTATATATCAAATGAATCAAGAAAGTTGTTATAGCACATAACAACAAAAGAAATTTGAATGCAATCTTTTTACTGCCATTTCGCTGTCGTTATTGCCTATAGACATTGGGAAGCCAAATTATTAAAACACATGCAAAGGCTTACATCCCATCAAAGTACCAACAAGAAATATCATTCAACTGAGACACTAAATGTTACGGTAACAGATGAATTCCTGAAAGCAATGAATAAAAAAATGTTGTCAGCGATGGTTCTGTTAGATCTTTTGAAAGCCTTCGACAGCATAGACCACACAATACTGTTAAATAGGTTAGCCAATGCGGGCGCTTCTCCTTTGTTGTAAAATGGTTCGAAAGTTATTTATCATACAGAAATCAAATTGTGCGCATCTGTTACACACGGAGTCCCACAAGGAGCGGTCCTTTCTCCCTTGCTTTTTTAGATACGATCTGTGAACAAATTTGTCGGGTCAAGGATTGTTTCAACAAGGATACTTTAAAAACTAGGAGTTACTATCGCAAGGAAAGTGCTGCCGTTTGGCGACATGAACTGAATGCAAAAGAGTGTACTTCTAGACAATTCTCTAAAGGGAAGTTTACTTTTGACCCAATGACCAATCACAAACTTATTATTAAACTGTGAGTCTGTGTGCACGGAACACGAGTAAACAACCAACATGAAAATGAGGCCATTGGGTCAAAAGTGGATAAACGGCATACCCATTGGCTGGTAATGCACCCTACTTTAGTATTAACTCGTCTAACCCCAGACAAATTTACACTCTGTAACGCCGGACGATTTTACTTGTCAGTGTTAGAGTACTGTCAGTATTAAATTTTTAACAAACCTATCTGCCAATTTCTCTTATTAGCCCCCATTGGCTGGCAATGCGACCTACTTTAGTATTTACTGTGATACTGTCTATCAACGCCGGACAACTTTACTCGTGAGTGCCACAGTAAACGGGTTAATTTCTCGTCACGCCCCAATTTAAAATTTTTACGATTTTTATTGTTTCTAATTGTAGATATCTCAGCGAATATACCCCCCCCCCCTTTAAAACGAAAAGCACCATTGTAATCGTGACAAAACATCCTTTACTTAAGGCCTTTTCAACGGGGGGTCAAATGCCTTCAAATCACTGACACAAACCGAAACAATGAATCATATATTTACGAAAAAAAACTTGAATATCTTCCAAACTCTTCATAATTTGCTCAATGAGAGTATTAAAAATCAGCCTTGTATTCAAGCGCTTTCATGTAGAAAGTTTCGTTTGAATACGGCGAGTAGAAATTTTTATTTTGAATTTTTCGGGTCTTTATTCGCACGCGCGCGCCACGTGTATGCTGGAATTTAAGGAAATCTGAGGAATTTTCGAGCTTATTCTAAGGAATTCGAAAATTTGATTGTGAGAGCACTGGATGCACGTGCAAACCACTGCCACTGGGAGTACTTTGACCTGTAGAATGTTTTGTTTTGATCGCTTGATGATGCGCTAAAAATAAACGGATTGATTTATTCTGCAAATACCGAAATAAAAGATGAAAATCTGAAGACACAAACTTGAAAATAACACTCTATAAATAGTGTTTAGTATTCTGGTTCGAATATTTATACGAAAATGATATGTCCAAAGCCAAAGGGGCCGAAGTTATTTTCGGTGAAATACAGCCAATTGCAGTTGAGCTTGCAGCTTGTATTTTAAACGCGTTGTTATATCGTTGAAAAGTATGCGTTCATTCCTTAGAAACACGCCGTTGCTAGGGGCGTAACGTGAACTTTTGGCGGGCATTGTTGAACTTCTGAACGGCGTGCAAACAAACGTATAACGAGTTAAATATATTGTAAAAACGCTGCTTAAGCCTGCGAACGGAACAGTAAGGTATTTTTAGAATGCCTGCAGTCAAATTAGAACTCCCTGGTCGGTTTTGTGACAAAATCTAATTTAATTCGTCAACGCCAAGAATAGAAAAACATGTTTACGCCGTTACAACGCGCGCCAAAAGTTCACGTTACGCCCCTAGCAACGGCGTGTTTCCAAGGAATGAACGCATACTTTTAAACGATGCAACAACGCGTTTAAAATGCAAGCTGCAAGCTCAACTGCAATTGGCTGTATATAGTGAAAATGATACCGCTTGACCTGTCAAAGGTCATATTAAAATAGCTTTGTATCGTTAGGAATTAGGAGATTTTGTTTCACTGAATCGAATGGTGGTATTGTTGTCTTCATAGCGTGCACTGACTCGAAGATAAGAACCTTGCAAAGTCATAGAGTTGAGAGCTCGGAGAGATTGTTATTGAACACAAATTATAGACATAGTGTATTTATATAAATGACAATACTCGACTTTGAAGAAACAATTTAAAATTAAATTCTCAAACTCTTTCATAATACATAGTAGCCAGAGACTTGTAGTAGGTAACCATAAAGTGGATAGCCATAGACATGGTAGTCTTCATAGGCATAGCCATAGCAGAGATATGAACCCTGTTTCCCTCGATATTCGCAATGTCTTTAATAATAAACCGCGGATTCATTTAATACATCAATATAAAATTTTAAAACACTGAATATATAAACTAAACTTACAGATATAATCACTTTTAATGCATTTGTTCGAACACTGACTGACACAATCAAAGGCAAACTGGGCAGGTTGTTTGACTCAGTGTAGCATATAAAATGTTATTTAATATTTAATGGGAACTATAAAGTCTAAACCGTAGACGTAGTCTCAAAACCGTACGTTGATGAATACTTCCACGAATATTACCAGTAAAGTTGTGGCATATAAACTGCACTTGTAATACCTTTAAAATTATGATCACTTCCTGACACATCGAACATATCTTTCACAACTGTGAACTGTGTGAAGACACGTTCATTAGCATTCGCGTTTCCCTGATGTGTCACCCCCCGTGGCCCCCCGGTTTGCCGACGGACATCCAAATTTTGAACAAATCTCGATTCACGTCGACAATACATAACTCGGCCAAAGAGACTGGGCACAAGTGAATGTCAAGAATAGTGTGCTGCCGAGCTAGCGCTCGGCAGCAATAATTATAGAGCCATTGGTCTTAAGCAAATCATTCTTTAGTTCGTCCGTTTGGGCCAACACATCCGAATCAAACATCACTAAATTACAACTGATCGAAAACTTCGCTGCCAAAATTATTACAGGCGCGCGAAAGATTGACCATATTACTCCACATTGATATTTAAATACAACGCTGTCGTCAAGCCAGTTATGATGTACGGTAGTTCTATGTGGAGTTGCTGCTCGCGAAATGATCTACTTAAAATTTTTAAATTACAAAAAAGAGCAGCTCGGGTAATTTTAGGAACTGACACTTCCTCCAAGTCAACAGCCAATTTTAATAAATTGAACTGGATACCTTTTTATGAATATTTGAAACAAAAGAGTTTCAGATATTGTATCTTAATTAATTTTTATCATGTAAATAATTATATAGGTTTTATATTTTTTTGTAAATTAATCTGAAAAGCCCGACATATTTTTGAATAAGCAATAATTGAGTACCATTTGATTTCAGTTCAATGTAAACTTTACACCGTCTACAAAACAGGCTTAAAATAAAATATTTGTACGACCTTTTAAAAGAATATATCTATATAGGTACAATTTATTTCATAACAAATCAATTGACTTTTAGCATTCACAGCAAATTATCTAAGAAATTTGTGAACAATTTCTAAGAATTCTTGAGGTTTATCTGTGTGAACAAAATGACTTGCACCAGGAATAACTTCTCTATCTGCTTTCGGAAAAAGCTTTCTGATTTCGTTCATGTCAGCATTTCTGAAAAGAAATAAAAATTGTCAAGGGGAGATTCAAGTGTAAAATGGCCCATTTCATACAAAAGACAGACGATACGTTAGGACGAAGTTGGGCGAAGGAAACATAGTTCGTCTGTGTTTGTGTACGGTACAATAGGGAGCTTATGGGAAACAAAAATTATATTATACATTTTATTATGCCAGCAGATTGAACTTTATTAACAACGGTACTAATTCACCAAAATATTTACAAAGAAAAAAAAGGGGATGGGGGGATCTTTCCAATTAGCCCGCGTGCAGGCCCAAGGGAAGAATAGTGGGCCTGCAAGCAAGGCCCGGTATTTTGTAAAACGCCCCTTTTCATAACACGCCCCATTCGCGCGTCAATTGTCAAAAAAGAACCAATGACAGCAACCCAAATAGTAACAAACAAACTCGCATTAAAATGTTGCGGGGTTTTCTCTGCTTTAATATTCAAAATAGAAACAATGTGTAAATGGCTGTGTTTTAACTCCAAAAAACGGCAAGCAACGTAGTCAGTAATTGCTGAATTTGCAAGTGCTCATTTTCAACTAAAATCGGAACAGGCAAATTAGGACGAATTTCAACAGAAAACCAGTCTCAAACTTCAAATCGTGAGGGAAGTCGTGCGACCACATTTGCATTAATGTGTGGTTCGTTGTCGCCATTGTTATAAATAAATTGTCTCACTTGTCAGATCGTGTATGCAATTCTTGTTGGCGGCGGAAAGTACGAAATTAATTTCAGTTATTTCATTTGGTAAAGAACTCTACAACAGAAGAGAGCGTTCAGAGTCCTGACCGTTTCTTTCAAACGGCAATTACCGTCTTCTGTTTCGCTCTCTCAGCGAAGCCTTGCAAATCGCAAAGTGTTTCGAATAGGCTTACATGCAACTGTCTCTAAATCTTCACCGCGAAAAGCGCTGTTTTCTTCAGTGCAAGAACAGAGTCAACATCAACCAAAAGATAATTTTCTTGAGGAAGATATAACGTATCAAGTCTGTTTGAAAATATTAATGAAACTCGGGTAAAGGTTACTATAGTTTACCCCAGTCGTAATGACACTAATGTTGCTATTCCAACACTTCACGACAAGCAATCCCCATTGGCATAACGGCAAAAACATCTCTTCCTTCAAGTAAACAAACAGTCTGTTCTTGTTCCATTTTTAATCGAAAAAAGTGATCAATTTTCGAATTTTAAGCTTATCGAGAATCTTTGTGATGAATCACTGATCTAATTATATAATCCAGCAGCAAACAGCCAATCAGAATGTCGCGTTCGTGGGCGAACGCGGAAAGTACAAAATACCGGGCCTTGCTTGCAGGCCCACTATTCTTCCCTTGGGCCTGCACGCGGGCTACTTTCCAATAGGCCGTATACACTAATTAAAATATATAAAGATTAAATTCAAACTAAATATACTATATACAACTACATACAAGAAAGTTTAGTTTTAAAGCCAGAGATACAGTACTTCTTGTGGATTTTAAGTCAACGGGAAGGTTATTCCAAGTCCCAGCTCCTCTGTAGGCAAAAGCCTTTTTCATATCATTTGTATTAGGCATAGGTAGGCTAATGCGAAACTAAATTCGCTCTGTCTCGTAATGTAATCATGTGTTTCACTCGTGTTGGTAAAAACGTCCGTTAAATAATTTGGTAGCATCTTATGTTTAACTATGTGTAGCTAGTGTAGGTTGCGTGATTTCCTTATTTCGCTGTAAGCTATTGGCCAATCAGAAGACACGTATATTGACTACAATGCATATAATAAATCATTTAATGAGCAACAAGACCGTTCAATCTCAAAATATATTTTTCCTACTTGAGATCCTGTGACTCCCCTCCTGCGATGAACAGAGTTTCGCCCGTGTAAGGTGTCCTTCCTTTCAATTCAATCGCGGACTCATTCCCTTCTACAAGCGATTTAAGATTTTCCAGCACATTTTTAATATCTGCAAGCCATTGAAACTTTCCCTCCACATCTTCGTGTAAAGTTGTGAGCACATGGGCACGGATAACATCATGCTAAGCAAGAAAATGTCAAAGTTAGCAAGAAAATGTCAAAGTTAGCAACCCGCTTTCTTAAAGTGCTTATACACCCGCATCAAAATTTCCCACCATATTTTTATACTGCGTTTTAAAGGAAATTCAAAATGACTACATATAATAAAAATACTTTGCCAAACAAACTGTCTATCATAACTTTTTTCTTTCTTGCATAGGTGTAGGAGGAAGGGATGCACTCCCAATACTTTTTTGGTCGGGCAGTTTGTAGGTAAAAATCGGGAGATTGCACTTAAAAATTGGGCGATTCTGCTTAGAGACCTGTCAAATAATTAAAGGAAGAGCGGCGCGCATTAAAATCGTCGTAATAGGAATAAATAGGCTACGCGGTGATGAGAAGGATATGAATTAACTGCACCACCATTCTTCATTATTTTCAAGATGCATTCAAGAGATGCAATAAAAAATGGGGGGTAAAATTTCATTTCATAAACAGTAAAGAGTTTCGTCACGAAGCAAGGGAACTACTACGGAAAACCTTCGCGCCGATTATTGTGCGTACATTTCAGCCTGACAAAACAGACATATATGTCGAATACAACCTGCGTAGCAAGCATTTGTTGCAAGCATTTGGGCTGAGAACTGAGTGCATGGAATATCGGTTGGAAGTTTGGATACTGCATGGGCAATATGGATATTAAAGGGAAATACTGTAGCAACAAAAGATAACTTTTGTTGCAATGCAGGGTGGTTATAATAAAGATTGACTGTATATTGATCACTACACTCACTGGAATTGATTCTCGCAACAAACCATCAGCATCGTTACTGTTTTTTACTTGAGTGAAATCCAAATTTAACATTGCAGATAAAATCCCAGCGATCAACGGTGCAGGTGCAACCATAGGGGGTATGTCCTCTACTATCAATTTCTCAACGCTATCGGGCATGCTCAGTGCTAATTCCATGGCTACTTTACCACCCATACTGTGACCAATTAGAACAGCTCTAGAGATGTTCAAGTGCTTCAAGGTTTCAGCAATGTCACCGGCCATCAATGGGTGCGTCATGAGATGGCTACGAGGACTTTGACCGTGATTACGACAATCAACGGAGATGATCTGTGTTAGAAAGGTTCACAAGTTAGTAAATAAAGGTGTGGCTTTCGTTCATTTTCACACACAAGTAAAAATCCGAAATTATTATTAACAAGATGTGTTCGTAATACCAGAAGTTCGAATCTAATTTTAAAATATCATTCTGTAGAACAAAATTACGATAATTTTCCGTCTATTATCAAGTCCCTCTATTTTTCAACTCCTTGGTCCCGAACATACGGAACGCCATGTCTGCCTATTCCTTCCAATGTAAACTTAAAAAGCATTTAATTTTTGATACATTGTCTAAATATGTTCAGTATTGTATTATATTATATTATAATCAAATTAATTAGGCATGGACATCTAAATATCTTCTTATTTTTTATTTTATATGTGCATTTGTATATTATTTTCCTTTTGATATTACTGGTCACCATTCTACTTCATATTTAGGTAACTAATTCAATAATATTTGACATGAGGTAGTCTAGCAAATAATAAGCCTTGGCTTCTAGTTGAGTTGGACTATCTCGTCACAATCTTCAATTTTCTTTTTCTAATATTACTTCTGTAATAAATTTTGTTTTATTATGTAATTATTTGTGGCAATTTGATAAAAAAATCATTCCTTCATTTATCCGCAGGGGTCCTAGTCTGGAAAATTTGACATTTACAATTGATTTGAATCGCTTCCAATTTGTTGCCAACTGTGAACAAATGTATAATTTGGGCGTTATAGATTCCTTTCAGCGAGTGTTCCGCAGAGCAAATCAGCAGTATAGTCTTTTCACAGACGTGAACAAACGATAAAGCAAATCAACAGTACAGTCCTTTGACTCCTTTCATAGATGTGAACAGCAAGATTTCTTAATTTACGCGCCATGGACGAGTGCTATCAGAAGTGCAAATTATTTCTTTGTCCTTGACACAAGGAAAGATTCATTCAGGTTGCAAACATATATTGAGGGTCTAGATTTGAACAACAGATTCCCCCCCCCCCGTATTTTTACTTCCATTCAAATCATGTTGACTCATGATATTCGATCAGAATAGAGAATAAAGACCTGCAACATCAGTCAACATTATACCAACCATACAGTAATTGTCAAATATATCCAACTTTTCAGTGGACAATATTAGGTGGTTCAAGCTGGCAATTAGCGTCCAAAGTCAAAGAACCCATTAAGACACTTTAATATTCTGCTAGAAACCGAAGTATGGAGAAAATTCTTAATCCCCCAAACTCAATTGATATTCTAGGAAAACTAGTAAGGGGCCATTCACAAAGGATGTCCGAGCCGAGGGGGGGAGGGGGGTTTGGAAAATCAGGACAAACTCGGACATAGGGGGGGAGGGGGGGATTTTTAGCCATCCAGATGTCCGAAATTTAAAAAAATTCAAAAACAAATTTCTTTTCCCCTCTATTTTGAGCAGTCCTTCCCATTGTGAAATTGGCATTTTGACTATGCGGTTAACACTAGATTTTGTTTTAACTAGTAATTTATATGTTTTTGTGTTCACATTTACAGTTATAAAAAAAGTTCTAAAAGTAAAAAAAGTTTTTTACTCTTGATATATACAAGGTTGCGTGAGTTTTTGCGAGGCATGGCGGATGTCCGGGGGGAGGGGTCACTAATTCGGACAATGCCGGACAAGGGGGGGAGGGGGGGGTCTGAAAATCCATCATTTGGCCGGACATCCTTTGTGAATGGCCCCTAATGCATATATTATTTTAGGATGGCTTCATAGATGGAAATTCTATGCCAGAGGGCCTATAGTTGCATTTTCAAAACTGTTCCTGCTTATATGTATAAGAAAATTCACACTGTCTCAATATTTGTATCGACAAAACCCTTCTACATGCAATCTGTATATAACCTTACCTTTCTTCCTGTTAGTTCACTGTAAGACTTGCAAAATGCATGCCAGTGTACAGTGGATCCTAATAAACCATGAATGACCAAAATCGGGCAGCTTTCGTCCTGTCTGTCGCCTCCATACGTTTGATAATACAGAGCAAATGATTCGTTTGAATCGGGAAGTGAATCTGCCATATTCTTCGATGGTTGGTCAAAACAAAAACAGGCGTTGTTTGCGTGGCAAATTTGTATTATTAATGCCTCATTCCACGCTATCTTCTTTGAATAATTTTAGCACAGATGGTTGCACACGGATAGTTCAATTGATTAAGTTTCAATTCGCGTTGTAGCCATATTCGCTCAATCGCAACTTATTCGAGTGATATAATATTGTGCATTTCTTGAAACGTGCATTTCGCGCGCCGTATTAAATTCGCATTCCAACTGTAATTCGAAACCCGCTCAAAGAACGCTATTTCCTGCATCCAGAGACGTGTATTTCAGATAATACATACAACAAATAAAGTTTCTTTGTCTTTGAGCTGCCGTTTATTGTTTAACTACAGTACTTGAAAGCTATGGTAACAAATACTTAATTAAAGTCCGGTTGAAACGTCGAACTTTTCAAGTGCTGAATACAATTCATCGGTTGTGAGTGATACATAAAATATAGCGTCACGCCTTTCAGCGTTTTATAGACGACGAGACTTTTCATTCTATCTTTATCAAGACACTTGTTATTTCATGATTATTTATGTATTTCGACTTTATTTATACTTGACAATTTCATAGAGCAATATACTATAATTATGGATAAAAAATATTAGGGTTAACAAATATCAGATGAGGTTCATTAAAGTATTACAAAATTCATGCCAAATATTTTGGTATCTTTTGACCCCCCGGTCTAAATATGCAATGTTGGTCTTGACCTTATTACCTCCGCCAGGAGGTTATGTAATCATCTGGGTTTTTACCTCCGCCAGGAGGTTATGTAATCATCTGGGTTTGTATATGTGTGTGTATGTGCATGTGTGTGTATGCATGTGCATGTGTGTGTATGTGTGTGTGTGTGTGTGTGTTTGTCTGTGAGCCCGATAACTCAAGAAATACCAAACATATTCATACGAAATTTTTTGAATGTATTTCCCATCGGCTAAGGCCCGGTTTAGACGGCGAACTTCTCATGCGCCGAATCTAATTGTCGTAGATACGGCAAAATATGGGAAACTGATTTAGACGTCGAACTTAATTGCACCGTACCAAATTGCGAAGACATTATATTGGAAATATTTACAATGCAAATATATGATAATCATATTATGTTAAAAAATAATTATGCATTAGGTTCGGCGCATGAAAAGCACGGCGTCTAAATCAATGTCGAACCTGTGTCGCATCTTCGAGTCGTGTCGAACTTAATCAAAACCTGCCGAACTTAATTGATTTAGACGCCGCTCCAACGTCGCACTTAATCCTTGCATTAGATTCGGCGCATGAAAAGTTCGCCGTCTAAACCGGGCCTAAGGAAGAACTGATTAAAATTTGGTTGAATTTGGTTAGAAATTGAATGAGAAATAACAAAAGTTTGTCTTGATTTTCCCGGTCAATTAAATAAAACTTACTGAATGAGTAATTAGGACGTGTATAATCTATGCACCAGCCATTCAAATTCTAATAACAATAGTAATATTACTTCAATAGTTTGCGCTTTTTTCACTTTCGAGTAGGGCGGAGGTATGCAGTCTCTGAGTGCCCTCTAGTTTCGCAAAGTTTTCACCTAACCATTTTATAAGCTTTCAACATTGAACGGGGGGAGGGAAAAGTTGAAATTGCTGTTTTTGCAAGGATATGATTGGGCAAGACAGGTATTTCCAGGGCCCTGGGTGTTTTTATAAACGCACGCGCTGTCTACAGTATATAATTCATGTCAGGATTGTAGGTATGACACAAACAAGCGAAATGTCGGTAATGGAGATTGCATTAAAATTGCCTATGATATACATTTTTGTTTGATTTAGCCTCAACAATAACCATTAAAACGTACATATGTTATAGTTTCTTTTTTAATTTATATTATCGCATCCTACATTCACATTTCCGCGATTTCAGACATATCACTTGTTTACATCCTTCAAATGTTGCGGCTTGTGGCTTGATCTACGCAGTAGGCATCTAAGTCACAAGTTGACTCCGAGTAATATAAGCTCCTTCTTTTGCCAAAATAGCCTTATGCTGATAAGAGTTATAAGCGCCCAGAAAAACGAGCTAGTGTGTCATAAACTTGCACCTCTCGAAGAGCACGACACGGACATAAATCTACAAGGATATGCTACAGTGTCTTTACTTGCCAAATCGGCCAACTGATTTGGAACTAACACAGCAAACACCATGTGATTGTGACACGTCCTACGGCTACTGCCATGATCATGCAAACTTTCACATTTGGGCACACATTGATGCAGTCTGAACATGCATGGTATGGACGACCTATGTACTTTTGAATTTCGACGCCCACTTTTCAATAGACGGCCATGCATAGGACCTTACTAAGGCCTGTTTTACACGTCGAATTTTGGTCGCGTCGAATGCAATTAAGACAATAGATAATGAGATGATAAACCTCATTAAGTTTCATTATCTATTGTTTGAATTGCATTCGACGCGACCGAAATTCGACGTTTAAAACGGGCCTAAAGCCAGTTTTCCACTTCAATCGTAGCCAAGCGTAGCGTATTTCTTTGTTTTCTGACCACTAGAGTGGAACTAATGACTTCGACACAAAAGAAAATGCTACGGTACGTTACGATACGGTTGAAGTGGAAAACAGGCTTAAGCCCATGCAGGTATATTCAAAACTGTATACGTAACGGTATATAGATAGGTACGTCGACATTGGCATGAAACATGACTGGACTGATAGGACTAAGGAATGGTGGAGTCGATTTTAGTGTTTTGTATGCAATTGTCGTCTTTCTCGTTCTAACTTGTAGTTTCAGGTTACTGAATGATTACCTTTCAGAAACCTGTAATTTATGTACTTCATTTTAAAGACCAAGGGCCTCCACAGACTGGAGTGATTTGTTGTCGAATTTTTTATCAACAACGTTTATTTGTCGACTATTCATTTTGTGCGATATAGCTACTACCCACAGACAGGAAAAACGCCTTTGTCGACAATATTGATTTGTCGACAAAAAGTCAAATTTTCCTTTCAAAAATGGGTTCCATTTGTAGTGGACTATTAAAAACTTAACAAATTTTTTATCGACAACTTTTATCACACACCTGATTTTTAGTCGTCGATAACATCGCACCTTGGAAAAGCTTTTCGATCCATAAGCCCGCATCAGTGCAATTGATCTTTACAAGCCATACAGTAGTTTCCATTTATACAATATACATTGAGGGACTGGTCCACAGTTATTTGGCTTTGCCGCTGTAGTTGCCCGGCCTCTTGTGTCTGTGTTTGTGCCTTTATTGTTTGTGTCAGTTTTCATATTAGACTTGGATCAAGTCCGTCTCTAAGAGTCCGAGGGATCAAGCGCGCAAGATAGAATACCTCGCAAGCTGCGCGCTCGATCTCGACGCTTTGCGACTCGGACTATCCAAGTCTATTTCCATGTCTGTAATAAGTTATTTGTAAAAAACGCATTTGTATGTACCAGGCAAAGTTTAAATACATTTATTTCACCAAGCAATTTTATTTGTAATTTTACCTCTACAGATGGTATGGCATCACTTGGCGAGATAGGAACCGATTTACAAAGTGGCAAACTTTGATCAGTTATTGAAGAACTTGCACTGTTATCTTTTGCTATCTGCCCCAGAAGTTCGTATAACAACGCCTTGCCCAGTTGGCCGTTAATTCCCAGCGTTCCAAGAATTTCCGCCATCTAATTGTTAAATCCTGAAGAAGAAGAAAGAGTATGTGATGACATTTTCATGAACAAAGCTGGACGACAAGAAATTCTCTTTGCAATCAATGGATGCGGATTCCGTCTACAGACGAAATTTTGATGTAGACAAGAAGAACGAAATCCGTTACCATAGCTGAAAAGAGCATCTTAACATGAGTAAAATTGACAAGTGGTTACGAATTCTTGTAAAATGAGGAAAATATAGCCCTGTGAAGTTCGCAAATTTTGTATACATTTGCATCACGCGCGGGGAAAATAACCATTTTTGAGCCGAAAGTGGTTATTTTTACCGCGCGTAATACATATATATACATATATATATATACATACATACATACATATATATATATATATACATATATATATATACATATATATATATACATATATATACATATATATATATATACATATATATATATATATACATATATATATACATATATACTACATATACATACATACATATATATATACATACATACATATATATATATATATATATATACATATATATACACATATATACATATATACATATATACATATATATATACATATATACATATATACATATATACATATACACATATATATATATATATATATATATATATATATATATATACACACACAAAACTTGCGAACTTCACAGGGCTATATTTTCTTCATTTTACAACATTTAGCGGTTAACCATCTTTGCAGTTTAACTTATTCTAAGACGCTCTTTCTAGCTGTCAGGTGTTGGACTTCGTTCTTGCCTTGACAAAATTTAGTCTATAGCTGGAATCACCCATTGTTGAAGGGTTTTCTTATAATTATGGAAATTTTGAGTGGAAATTTTATACATTTATTGGATCTACTGTAGCAGTTGCGAAAAGATGCAACTATATATAAACCCTATAAGCAGGGATCAAACCTGCGGTTGATCTAACCAACTGAATGACAGGGAAAGTTGTTCAGGTCCAACCGTATAAATACTAATTAAAAGTGATGTCAATGTAAGGTGTATGGGTAAATATCAGGATTTGGGGGCATCTACAGTCGATATACAGTAACTAATTGTTGAAGAGTTTTGTAGATGGAAATTTCAAGTGGAATTTTTATACATTTATTGGAGCTAACCAGGAGAAGTTGCAAAAAATGCAACTACACACTCTCTGACAGGAATCAAAACTGTGGCCCTGTGATTCAGGTGCAGGCTCTAACCAACTGAGCTACAGTACAGTGGCCAGTTGTCAAGCTCTAACCAATAAGTTGACGTATATATGTTCTACACTTCATTAATTTATGTCCAACACTTTATTAAGTTGTCAACATGAAGGTCTTCAACAGGAATAGGGTGTGTATCAAAAAGTAAACAATTTTCAAATGGTCACACAACTGAAAGTTCTTAAATTTCTGTGAAACTCGAGTGAATATGGGCCCACTGTCAACCTGAATACCTATAGGCTTGTTTTTGCAAAACTAGATGTTTTTTTTTTAGTATCCCATGATTCAAATTCTAGCATCCCATCTGAGAACCCAGTATCCCACTTCTGAATACTGATTACCATAAATTTTGGCATCACTGAACCGTCGACGTACTTAAGTATACTATACATGTCTCTCATTGAAAAATTTTGATATTCAGAATACCTGAAATGTGATTTCAAGCATTTTTGGGGTGATTAAACTTTGCACCATTTTGAAGATTATAAAGTACATCAAAGACATGATATTTTCCTAGATGTTTCTTCTTGGAATTAAATTCTAAAAGTCACCTTGGAAAACTGGAGCAGGGGTCCGTGTCACCTTATTTCCCCTCCGTGAATCATGCTGGGGATGTGTGTGAAAATCCCAATGTGATTTTGATCAGAAATTTTGCATTTAGGTAATTCTAGGTTCTATGAGTTTGAGAAGAAATATTCATGCTGTGATAATAACATACATGTATTTAACAGTTAAAAATCTACACTAAATCCAGTCTTCTTGGAACCATATCTACAAATGCTTTCACAAAATTTTAATTGCTCATCAAGCAACTCCAGTAAATAATTGTGTCTGCAGTCGGGATGTACGGCAGTCAGTTTTAGTGATACTTTGTCCCCCCCTGTCTATGCCAATGGAAATACTCTGGATGGATCTGACATAGTCTCATTTGCACCTTCCCTTATTGTACTAATTTAGTCTAATTATTTTAATGTAATTTACAGTATGGAACCAATAAAGTTGTTAAATTAAATAAAATAAAATCTAAATATGTTGTAACTTAAAGTGCATATGACATGAAATTGTTTATTTTCTTAAATAAAAGAACTCTGTAAGCTGTAGTGTAACTTATTTTTCAGTTTCTTGTTTTTATTGTTTGTTCCCGAGATATTTCAATTTGTTTTATTATGTAAATGAGTGTGAATATGTCCGCTAATATATGACGTCACTTTGGTTGCAAGCTCAACTTACACTGGTTATAAATCTATTAACTCTAAAAAATGTAGATATCAGTTCACGTTTTTCTACAGTGTTTCATCACATTTACCAGTCAGTGAAGTTTGAAATTATCATCTTGGATGATAGCAGTGATATTCAACCAAGTTAAAGAGATTGCAACCAAAGTGACGTCATATATTAGCGGACATATTCATACTGTCTTATTTACATATCAAACAAAACTGAAATATCTCGGGAACAAACCATAAAAACAAGAAACTGAAAAATAAGTTACACTACAGCTTAAAGAGTTCTTTTATTTAAGAAAATAAATGCACTTTAAGTTTGTGCATTAATGTATACTATGATCATACATAATTCGTCCCATATTATTATTTTACTCTAATGCCAGACAGTTTTGTTGATAGTCTACGTCGTCTGATTCTCAGACCTGCAAACAAGTTGTAACAAGGTTGTTGTAAAGTAGATATATCTGGATGTGTTCAGAAAGCTTGCATGTTCCCAGTTGTTGGGACAAATCTGGAACAAGTTTTTATCACATTGTTACTAGGTTAACGAGGGAAACAGATTTGCCAACTTTCAAGGTACAAATTCAAACTTGTTGGTACAACTTATTACGAGTCTGTAATTATCCTCATCAACCATGTTACAAGATGATAACAACTTGTTCTAGACTTGTCAACAACTGGGAACAAGCAGTGTGGCCACATCTTGTTGACAAGCTGCGAGATTTGTAGGCATGTAGGAGGGACAGTCATTGTATACACACCTCCTACAGCCTGCCGCACACGAGAGAAACGTCCTGAGCTAGCAGCGTAGCACGACCGCCTAGCTCAGCATGTTTCTCTTCTGTGCGGATAGTTTTCGTCCAATTTTAACCTCTCAAGGGAAATATCATGTTTGATATTTTCATCTCACAAGGAAAAAATCTCAATGTCTGCAGGTGTTGCTGAGCTGTGCAAATCATCCAGCCAATGAGAACCCATAGTTTCTCCATGTTTCTTTGGTCACCATGTAAGGCAGTTAGCTTGGCAGGTTTCTCCTGTGTGCAGGACACTAAAGGGGCTGTTTATATGGGGCAAGGCACAAGCCCTGAGCTGCCCCAGTTTATGAGAAATCCACCTTTGTTATTACTTCCTACTCAATTTTATTTTGCATTTATATGGAATCAAGCTGGCCCGCCTAAGCGACGTCCCACCTCGACTAACCCATGCAAGATTAAGGGTGGTAGGGCTGGGAATTTCCCATATAAACGAAATTACCCAGGAAGGTTGGATAAGGGGAATGAGTGTTATTGTCACAAGTACCTGTATATTGCTGTAAAAAGATTTTCTCCCAGATTTTGATATTAAAAGGACTCTGTGAACAATTCTGTGGGTTACATTTACCGTGAAAGTTGCTCGCAAAAGTGTGAACTACAGTTCGCAAGAAAAATTTTGGTACCCGTACCATTTTTATCCGTGCTCAGACTACCTGTTTACAAAGGCCGAGCACAGATACATTTGGTATGGGTACCAATTTTATCTATGTCGTACCAAAAATTGAGCATAGTGTAAACAGGCCTTTATGTTATATTATTTGTAGCAGTGAGACCAGTCGTTTGTTTTGGCGAGCCAACCCGCCTCAGAAGTCTCATGTGATGAAAACACAGGAATGACAGGATGAAATCAGCTTGGCAAAGCGACCTAGTTCAGGTACACAGGCTGACTCACCACCTAAAGACGCTACACTTAATTGTTGGTAGGGCACGGATAAACCAAATGTATCCATGCTCGGCCTTTGAAAATAGGTCCAAAATTAAGCGTAGTGCAAGATGGATGATCATCAGTACAGTAAAGGTCTCTACATTCTCAACATAAATAATACTAAAACACGTTAATCATGGGATTTTTTATGCCTGCACTAAACAGGGCCGAAATTTTAATCACATATATCATCAACATATTAAACGAACAAAATAAAGAATAGATGCACAAACACTCACCTTTAAATTGTCTTGCAAAACACGTGCGCTGCAAAACGGAATATAGGATTCTTTCCGTTACTGATTACTTGCTCTTCAAGCGCTTTCCAAGATTTTCGACGTTGAAGCAATATCTGGGTTATCATACGATTGTTAAAAATTACTTGTGGAACAATAAGATAAGCAATTTATGTATGAAGCAAAGACTTTTAAAAATGTTGATGTTGTTCCAGACGTCCAACACAGAAACATCGCAAATATAGGTTACACGTGTTCCAGCCTGATTTCAAGGCCCGATATGTGCGGGTCTATATGCGGGTGTAGAACACATTGATCTTCTTGCATTATTATGTGCTCTGAAAATCAGTAAACGGTAAAAATTTTGATATTTTGACGGCAAAAGTCGGAGCCAAGCATTGTCAGACCGCGGATTTTGCTTCAAGTTCGGGCGGA